ATGCCAAAATTATTGATTTCTCGCACAATAAACTATTTTCACAAGAATATAGGCAATATTAATTTCAGAGCTTGTTTAATGGTTTTTTTTTTTTTTAAATTAATTCTTCTAAGTAGTTTTTAATTTTATAATAACTTTCTAATTAATTCATCCACTATGTCATTAGAAATGCATTTTTTCCATTTTAGTATTATTATGGACGAAAAAAAGAGATAATTCTCATCTTTTCATCATGATTTATAAGCTTTTTTCTAACTATCATAAAATTTAAACTTAAAATTTTTAATGTGAACATTTAAAGTCTTAACCATTAAGATGTTTTTTGGGGAACAAATTGCATTCCTCCCAAATTTATCCTTCTGTACTGAAATTAGATAGTTAATATCCTTAATTAGAAATTTTCAAAAGTTGTGTGCCTTTATCAGAAAAAAAAAAAAGTTTGCATCCTTAATTACTAAACTTTGAAAAGTTAAGATCCTTGCTTGTATAATTTTCCAAGACAAATAAGGTTATATGAGTCATTTCCCTAGCAAGGATCTCTTCTTCTTCTTCTTCTCCTTTATTATTTTTTTTTTCTCCTTTTAGACAGTTAATGGTCTTTCTTTCTTTTGAATCATGACAATTAAGTACCTAAACCATAAACAAATGTAATAACATATAATATTTTGAATTTGGTAAGCTTCTGTTTTCAAAAAAGATCTTAATGACCTGCTAATTTCTTGGTATAGAAATTTATAAAACTGGAGTATATGTATAGCCTGAATAAAATATCCTTTGTGGCCAAGAGATATGCACAAGGATATCTGGTTTAATATTAATTGGAGGATTTGACACAACAACCGTCAATAATCAACAAACATATCATTCCCATTGTTCACTCGGTGTTGCATTGCAAATTTGCAAATGAATAGGTAATCAGAGATTGAATGTAGTCGAGGCGAAGGGAATAGATGTGTCTCGTTTCGTTTCTTTGAGAAAACATCATTTTTGTACTACTACAAACTACGAATTTTCTCTTTTAGAAGATTTGGCCTTTGTATTCTGTGATGACGATTGGGCATTTGGGCCCAGTCAACTGTCAAATTTAATTGTTTATAATTAACAGTTTATTTTTCTCTTCTTTCTCCTTAATTCTCATAAATAAAAAAACCATTACTATATATTACAAAACATGAAAAAATAAAGATATTTTGACAATAAAAATATTCTTTAAAATATTTAAATAATTTTACAAAATACCTAACATTTTAAGTGCAAGTTATTTTTCTCATATTTTTCTGTCTATAAAGCCCCCTGAAAAAATTATTTCATGTCCTAAAATGTGACTTTCTATGAGATAGGGCTGAGGACGCAGAATCTAAGATGACAAGAGAGAAGAGGAACGCCAAAGAAAGGAGGCAAGAGGGAATGACAAAGAAGGAGATGATAGAAGGGAAGAATTGCCATAGGAAATGATAGATCCGATCAAAGGAAAGCAGAGGAATGGAACAAATTGTAAGTTTCATTAGTTTGAAGTTTTGATTCACAGTTTATATATGGCATACCCGTGGTTTTGATCCACCCTGGAACCTATGATTTTGGACTAATTAATGAAAATCCAATCCAATACATATGCTAAGAACTAAGATCCAATCCAAAAGCATATGATTATAATTACCATTAAAATTTTAAGGTTATTAAAATTACTAAATTTGTATTTTAATTTAATTATTAAAAATAGTTAATAATTATTAAAAGTTAATATTTATTTTTTTATCAAATTAAAATTAGTTTACAAATAAATATTTTTAAATATTACAATTAAATATTTAAGGTAAAAATATGAATTGATAAAATTACAACTAAAACTATTGATTTTAACAAAATTTTTAATCACAATAATCTCAGCTGATCCAAAAGATTGATTTTTAAATTAATATGGATCTTGATTATTTGGGACTAGTTTACACCTCTATGATTTAGTGATAATATTTATTGACAATATTTGTTAGCAGTATACCCACGAGCGGGTAGATGAGTTAGCAGGAGATTCATCTAGTTTAATTAGAGATTTTGGTTTCAAGTCCTGGAAATGTAATTCCGTTAAAATTCGTGTAAGAGAGAGTTTTGCTATCCATTGGGTCTTCACCGGCTCGAACCTAGATTACTCGGTAGCCCAGTGAATTTCCGGATATCAGGTGGTCCAAACAGGAAAAAAAAAAAAAAAAGATTTGTTAGCAGTAGTATGATACGTAAGTCAATATACATCTAATTATTTAATCTCAGTTATTACAACTTGAACCAAATGGCGCAAAAGAGAGATCTGCCTAAAACTCTTCTAGAGAATATGAAAAATCCAATCTTTTAATTACAGAAACTGAACAATTTAGAAGAACAGTCAGATTACATGAAGTTCAATAAAGCCTTTCTTAACTCTTTAACAAAATCCTTCACTGTCATGTCAAACTCAGAATCCTTCTGCATGAAAAAACAGAATGAAATCTTAGATTAAACACGGAATATTTAATTAGTCCTCTTTGAAAAACCTGAATATAAAGTTTAATTACCTGAGCAATCACGGTAATGTCGAGGGTGGAACCGAAAGGCAAGACACTACTATTGACAATAGAGACGTGAAGCTTCTCTATCTCGCTAAGTATTTTTACCAGGAAGCCTTTCTGTTTCTCACTGTGGATTCGAATCAGAACATCTTTACCGCAAACTCTCGCTTCAATTTCGGGTAGAGTCATAATATTAGAGTGACCGTCGGAGTTGTCATCATCACAAGAAGATGACTTTTTTACCAGAACAACCGACTCCACAGTTCTCTTGGTGGCCTGCTCCTCCAACGCCTTTAAGCGTTCTTGAAGCTGTTTCACATACCTGATCGCTTCTCCAAGAACAGAAGCTTTGTCCATCTAACACCCCCCCCCCCCACCCCAAAAGAGAAAAAAGAATTAATACTTTTGCTTGTCTAAGAAGTCTAGACTCTGTGATAAAAGCAGAAATCTGAAAGAACTAACCTCAAGATTTTAGGTTTTAGTCTTTTTTATGTTGGTTATATTCTTATGTTGATTTCTTGTAAATAATACACCTTTTTTCAATAACATGGGTACCTGCAAACTGTCTAATTTTCATAGGCACCAGACAAATCTCCGCCTTAATTTCATTCCCATGGATATATCTACAGAAAAAAAAAAAAAAGAAAAGAAAAGAAAAAAAGAATTACCTTCTTGAGACCAGGAACAATTCCTGAGAGAGCTATGAAGCGCTGGTTAAGTTTTTCTCTCCTCTGTCTCTCGGCCATTATGTGCTCTTGAACCTGGTATGGGGTTTTTGTAATGGAATGAGATCTCTTCTTCCCTTTTGGTACATAGATTGTGTTTTCATAATCAAGGCCATCTGTTGCAGTAACATATTTAGGGTTTGAAGTGTAGCGTAGATGCTCCAAATCGGCTTCAGGCTTCAGTGAACCGGATTTCTCGAAAGAGAGGATTTGGGATGTGCAGGGAGGAGAAGAAGGTTTTTGGATCCCATGGTGGATTGTGATGGTGGAATTAAAACTGTTGGTTTTGATGAGTTTGGCAGGCCTCTCAAAGCTGGTTTCAATGGAGGAGCCGCTGAAAGTGGTAGTGTTGTGGGTTTTTAGATCAGAAAAACAAGAATTATAGCTGTTGGAGGATAAAGACGGCCCTGCTACCTGCAGTGTAGCTGCTATGTCTTGTGCTGTTCTGAGTTCTGCAACAGAATTCATAAGACCCCCATGGATTATATTTAACTCATCCATTCCCTACAAAACCGAAAAGTAAGAAAAGTTCAGCAGTGGGAGATTTCCCAGCCAATCTTAAATTCGTGGTTATTGATCTCACCAATTCAGATAACCATTTGGCAGATGCAGTCACATCCATTGCAAACAAAGATTGCCCTGGAAACTAGGATCTAACAAAATTAATATGTAAAATTAAGACTCACTAAGAAACAAAAACGGCCATGGATGTTCATCCAAAAAAAAAAAACAGCCATCGATGAATATATATATATATATATATATATCTTTTCAGAGAATTGAAATCAAGAATGAAATTAAATGAAAAGTAGAGAGATGCAAAATGCAACAGCTTACCTTGCTTCTTCTACAAATGGTTGAAACTGAGAAGAAAGACCTGTCATTCTTCTCTTTATAGTTGTTAGTGTGAATTGGGTTCCATCATCAATGTTGTCCTACCCACGTGTGGACCTTATTGGGAGCTATTATTCAAAATAAAGGCTGGATTTGGACAGGGAAAATATTTTAATGGTATAAATATTTAACTCCTAAGATTGCCCCTCAAAACTGAATGTTATTTGTTTCAATCAAGCCCCTTCACTAACTTTTGTCGCAAATAAGCCCTTCAAAGTTAATTTAGAACTATAGATAAATCATCTATTTCACAACTGTTAGATTTAAAGCATAATAGTTCTTTGTTTAATGTGTTGCTAAGTTGGTCCATTCATTTATTGTGGGTGCTGGCATGGACTAGTTCTAAACTTCTAATGCTTCCTTATTTCTCTTTCTTCTCCTACTGTCTTTCATTCAAGTAATTATTATTTTCTCTTGCTTCCTTTGCATTGCAAAGTCAATGTAGGGATGAAAATGTCACCCAATCCCTAGAAGAATCCTAGACACAAGGATTGAACAAGAAGAAATATTCCTCCTTGAAACATGTAGATGGAAGCATTTTTTTCTTATGAAATTTTAAAGAGAATTTTGCCCACCTCATATAAGTCCCCGTTTCTTGCAAAAAATCTTTAAAAGATATATTAATATAAAACCCAAGTACTAGAAGGCTAGAACCATTACTCATTTTTAATGAATCAAAGCCCACCTCTAAAGCTCACTTCTAAGATTTGAAAGTCTAAATATCTAATTTTTTACTTTAAGTTAGCAAAATTTTTTTATTTTTTTAATATTTTTTTGGTAGGAGATGGCAATCCTAACAAGGGAATTAAGCCCTTGCCAAAAAGCACCTAGGATCCATTGTATTTCCAAAACCAATGACCAAAAACCAACATTCATGAATCAAAATGACATGCATAATTAAATGAAAATTACTTTTTTGCTTTAAATGAAATGGTTGTTACAATAATAGGTTTTGAATAATATATGAAAGTTACTTTGAGGGACTCATTTGATTCAAAAGTGAGTAGGAGGTTTGGATCAAAACAAACAACTTAGTTGAGAGTCAATCCTAAATTTACTCCTATAAACAATGTTAATATGGTATGCGAGTTGATTTGCCACCAATTTTATATTCTCTTATTCTGTTTTTGATTTAAAAATTTTTTAGGTAGTGCTATGAATACAATTTCATGGCATGGTACATTATATAATATGATATAATATTAAATGAGTAAATATATAATATTTTATACACTATAAATATTAAATAAGTAAATATATATAATGTTACGTGTGTTGTGAACATTAAATGAATACAATTAAGTTTTTTTTTTTTTTTTTCTCTTCATGTGAATTGGTGATTGTATTGTAGAATTTTTTCGGTTTTGGGACATTAAGATTTAAGAGATTTGTTGCTCCTCTCCGTATGCACACTAATTGCTTGACAATATGCTTGAGAGGGGCGAGCTGCTCTATTTTCTCGGTTTCCTGTTGCTTGACCAAGGGATTATCTTGATTCTTGAGTTATTTTGGTTGTAATCAGAAGCTATATATATATATATAATGAACTGAGGGTACTCTTTATATTTTATTAATTAAATTTATTTTTTTGTTAATAAAAAATTCATGCATGATTTATTAATTAAAAAAATTAATTACAAAATCACGCATTATATTATACATAAATATTAATTATTTCCATGAATCTTTTTTCAACTTCTTTCTATTCCTTGATGCTGCTAGTATTAAAATTGTCGATTAGAATTAGGTAATATTATCTCACTCTTTATATCAACGGTCCCATTATTTTGGGTCATATCTGTTTAAAAGTTGTCAGAAGGGGAATGGCTGTCCTCAACGTCATGCTTACCTGTTCTGATCTAAGCTTCCATAACCTGTTGTCTGTAGTTGCCTGATTTATTGTTCAGAAAAATGTAAAAAGCAATGAGTGGTTGTTTGATTTGCTGATAAAAATGTTATAGCGGTTGCCTCATTTTCTAATTCCTGGGCAGGGTTATCGCTAGCTTCGAAAGTGTCAAGACTATCAGAAATTGTAAAATATATATTTAAAAATATTAATTATATTTAATTTAATTAACAAAAATAATTAACAATTATAATTATTAATTATTAATTTATAAATAATTAATATTTATTAGTTAAGAAATTAAAATTAGTTAATAAATTAATACTTGGAAATACTATTTAACAAAAAAATTTTAAAAATTAATCACATTAATTAATATTTTTTATAATAACAATAATCACACCTCCAATTCTTACAAGCTTATTTTGGTTGTTCTCATTTTAGTTTTTATGTATTTTAAAATTAATCATTCTCTAAATAATTTTAAAAGTATAATTCATAATTTACATGTTTTAAAATTAATTTCTCATAAAATGATTTTAAGGGCACACATCTAATGATATTCAAGAAGATTAATTTCTTTAATAACAATATTATAGTTATAATGTGGTGTAAGATTATAAATTTACACTCAAATATTAAATGAAATATGACATGGTATTAAATGACTAAATATAAATAATATTGAAGGGTAAATCTTAAATAAAATAAGTTAATTATATAATGATATATCGTGTTATAAATTTACAATGTTACACGATATTATAATTACAGTATTTTCATTTTCTTAATACCTGATTCCAAAACTAAAACTCTAAATCTAATATATTAAACAACACTTACATATCAATATAATAAACTTAACATTAGATTTTACGCGACTTTATGTTTCTTAAATACAACAAATTAATAGTTTGCACCTCCGCTCTCTTTCCACTCATTTTTCCTTGTAACTTAAGTAAAAGAAATTAATATTTATTAATAGTAAAATTTTAATTACAACCTCAAGTATTATAATATTTATAAATTTTTTAATTTAAATGGGTGATGATATAATAATTTTTTTATACAATGTTTCTATATACTAATTAATAAGTGAATTCATATAATATATCACAAGTTTTAATTAAATAAAAAGACTTAATTATTAAACAATATAAAAATTATATAAAAAAAGTATACATAATTTTTTTACAATTATCTTGCATTTAAATAAGAAGCTCGTGGGCGAGACTTTTTAAATGTTACGTAAATATTAGTATGAAATTTACGATAAATTTTCATAGATAAAAATCACAATTATTAACTCTCACAATTTTTATTCGGTTTCTGAAAAAAAAAAAAAAAAATCTTTCTTACCGTAAAAGGTCAAACACACAATTTAGTTCTTGTTTTATGGTAGTGTAAGATTATCTTGTGGTTGTTTGTTGTCGGGTCCTTTATGGTTAGCTAGAAACGACAAATTTTTCAACAATAAAATAGTGGATGAGGTGAAGGTGTTTGAGCTCATACAGTTGAATTCATTCCATTGAATTAAGGCAAAGATCAAAGGGTTGTGGTTTTAAGTCTTTTAGATTGGTTACGGACCCGACAGCAACTAAAGGTAGAAGGTCCCTCAATAGTTGGAATTTATGTGACTTTAATATTTGGATGTGACCATAATCACACCTAAAAATTTGAAATAATAATCATTATTATTATGGGTTGGAACATTTTTTATATTCTGTTTCAGTAATAAATTTAACAGTTTTAATTTGATTTTATGACTTTTTTTTTTTTTTTTGAACATATTTGTAAGGGGCGGGATTTAAACCCAGCTCGGGGAGGGGGGAATGCACCGGGTGACTATTGCCACTAGGCCGCAAGGACCAAGTGCGATTTTATGACTTTTTAAATATAAATTTAAATAAAAATTTAATATATTATATAAATAATAATTAGATTTTTTATTTTATAAAAAACTTAATAAGAATTACATATAAAAAAATTTAATTGTTATTTATATAAATTATTATTAAAGTTTTATCTAAAACTTATATCTAAAAAATAAAAATCAAAAATCAAAAACTATTAAATTTAAATGGAGGGAGTATTCTTCTGCGTTTTTTTTGATACATTTTATTCTTTTGCTGTTAGAAAAATGATGAGATGGGAGGCATGCGCGGACCATCAGTGCCGAGATATTGATTGCATTGCTCATGAACTCGGCCAAGCCAAAATGCAAACATTTTTATCACATACCTTGTATTTCTACACACGTGTATATGGACAACTAAAAAGATAATGACATCATCAACGATTTAAATAATTTAATAATTATTTTTTTTGTTAAAAGTAAGAAGTTATGATTTCAAATCACATATGGGTAAAATAAATAAAAAATAAGATATAATTACTTTTTATTGTGTAATCAAGATAAAAAAAATGATAGAGAACATCTGGCAGTACAAAAAAAGGAAATCAGAAATAATTATACAGGTACCCGAGTTTCTTAATTGAAAAATTAATCAGGGGAGAGAGTTGGATGGAACACCCCCAAGATTCCCGCAATTTGATATAAGATAATTATGTTCATCTTTTTTTTAATTTGATTTGATCCCATCCAGTTCTTTGGTTTCTCGTTGTCATGAATTTGTTGGCAGGAACAATATTAACAAAATGACTAAAAACATCACTACATATTATATGTTCAATTTCATCATCAAATGATGATCTCATTAATGATTAAGAGCATGTTGGTCCAATTAGAGTTTTTAGGTAGAAGTGTGGTTTAAGTTTCGTAGAAACATTACTAAAAAAAAAAAAAAAAAAGTTTCGCAGAAACATAAAATAATGAAATCATGTAAAATAATTTTTTAAAATAATAAAATTTGGTACTAAAATCAAATGTTTCTTCCAAAAATTTAGACTAAATAAGTAATCACTAATTTAAGTGTATTTAATATTTTAATGTTCAAATTATATTAAATTATAAAATATCAAACTATTAAACGAGAGAGTTTGCATCTATTACCGAAAGTTCATCATTATTTTATTATTAATATTTTGTAATTTGGTGCAATATAAATTATAAAATATTTTTTCAAAATTTAATTTATGTATCAAAACATGTAACAATTACATTTTAATTCTCTAATTTAAATAAACGCGTCAAATCAGATCTCTGTTGAAATAAAGGGTTTTGTTCGGTGAAATTCCATGAAGTTATCTTCTTCGGTGAAATTTGTCAGAGTTTTAATTTTTTTTATATTATTTATATTTTATAAGTTAAAATTTTTCACTTAAAAATTTATATTTTTTAATTTTTTTAACCTTAAAAATATTTTAAATAGTAAATTTTAAAAAATTATAAAATTTTTTTTATATAAATTTTATTTTTACTCATTTTTTTTATTTTTAAAAGTAATTTTTAAATTTTTTCTCTAATAAAAACTAAAATTTATCACTTATAAACAATATTAAAAAAATAAAAACTCTTATAAATTTCATCAAACATACTCTTAATTTAACAAAATTAGATTTTTGGAACCGTATATGGAAATCTGGCATCTGCTCTTATTTGTCAGAAGATGCCCGAATACCATAAAGGACGCCATGAAAATTGGAAATGTGATCCTAAATGGATTAATAACATATTGATCAAAGATTGGGGGATAAGATCCGTATCTCTGGTGCAGCTTAAAAAACCCAGTATTAGTTGTTCTGTTTTTCCCAGGAATAATGAAGCATGTGCTACAGTCTTGACCCTGATCCACGTTTTCTCTTCAACGTTGCAGGCTGGCAGTACTTGAGAACAACCTGGCCTAAATAGATTACCTTATGCCTGAGGAGACATGTTTCAAGTTTCAAGTTTCGAGCTTCAGACACAGAAGAAAAGCTGAGGGAAATGTGAGATGAAACCTTCAAGTCTTCAAAAGTCATGTCAAATGGATCTTAGATCAAATCTAGAAGAAACGAAAATGTGAGGCATTATAATTTGTTGCTCATCCTATCATGGGTGATGGCGCAAAGTCATGGAAGAAGGAAGGATAGAACGACTAATCATAATATCATGTCAAACCTAGGAAGGATATTATTGCCCCATTTTAAAGTACTTTTGGTTTGAGAGAGACGGATGAAAGGAGAAGGATGATTTTTTTAATTAATTAAATTATAATATTAGTCAATATTGCAATCTAATTGATTAAAAACTTCATCTCTCCATTCCATTCCTCTCAATGGAGAAGAGGAAATGGGAGGGATTCTGCATATATGTGTCAACGCAATGTATGGGGCTGCACTAGGAGGTTCCATCTAGAAAAGCTTATCTGCAGCCTCCCTCCCAAGTCCTACCTCACTGGCCAAGTTTAGGTTCATAATATATTACCCTTAACATATATCAGAAATTTTTGACTGACTAGTTTCCTGCTGCTATCCTTAATTTGCTCCTTTCATACTCCAGTAAGAGAGAGACAAAGAATCAAAGGCGGCGATCTACTACCAGCACACAAAGGCCACAAGATTACATGAAAAAACACACAAAATATGAGCTCATATTAACTTAAATGAGTTTTCCAATTACACTGGCTGAACTGAAAGTCATTAATCAACTAAGCTAGCAGCCTACAAGATTAAAATTTCACACAGGATTTGCGTGGATTAGGAATTAATGCTCATTTCAGCCAAACATCAATGATCATACTCACGAAATCTACACCAGCATTCAAGCTGCAATAACAGCACAGACTTCTACAATAGAAGGTAATTATTCTGTTTGTTGAGTCCAGACCTTCAAATTCTTGTCATTGCTAAGCGAACCTGATGCAATCATGTTCTGAGTAGGGTGACAGGAGACAGATAATACGGTATCAGTGTGACCTTTCAACTTCTGTACTACCTTCCTGGACTGAAGTTCCCACAAGTATACGCAATTATCCTCCGAACCACTAACGATATACTTTCCATTTGTGATAGAGAAGGTGGATGAAATGCAGTACTTTGAATTCACATGGCCAGTGTATGTTTTCAAGAAATTCCCAGTTGAAAAGTTCCACAGTCTCTGCACGTATAACATAATAAATTATCAGTTATCTAGCATGTGAAATAAGTAAAAAACACTAGAAGCCAAGCAAAACCAAATATCTAACTGGTAATTGTCAAACCTAGCCATCAAAAATTGCCCTTCATTTATTTTAACTATTTTGCTGTCCATGTAACATCTAGACACATGCAAAGCATCTCAATAGAAGAATATAATCCATTAGGATAGCCATATATGGAGTATATGTTTCTGCTTGGCATACCACTTTAGAACCAGCTTTCATAATCTATAAGAGAATCAAACTTATACATTTTCATGATTCATATGAACAAACTTCACCAAGTTACAAGCAGCACCCCCTTTAGAACTGCATGACAATGCTTGATGCTCTAACCAAACATTTGCAAGATTTTTCCTATTTAACATTTTTACTCATACAATGTTTTAGTTCTTATTATCTGGTTTAAGGTGCATTATTAAGCACGGAAAACATGGAAAAAAAGGTTGAACTGCATTCCCAGTGAGTCAAATATGGCTAAGTTGAACAGTTCTTTTTTGAGGGTACATTTGGGAGGCCAAGGGGGAGGGGAGATTTGAGCCATGGAACTCACCTCTTGAAAGTGGATTTGTAGTATACAATCATCATTATACAAAACATGGACTACTGGCAGCACTACCATTTCAAAGAGGACAGGAGCAATTTCTCAACCAATTAGACAAATCAAACTATTTTTTTCTTTTTCTATGATAATTAACAAAGTAATCTGTCTCAAAACTATATTTTCTCATCTAGTGAATATTTCTTGCAGAAGCTAGTAATGTACAAGACAAGAAGGGTATTTCATTAAATAAGAGCTAAAAAGGCTGAAGATAGAATTCAACACCTTTCTTTTGACTCATTATTTTAGAGGTCTATGATAAGGAAGAACCATGATAAGTTAGCAAGTTGCATTGACCAAGTACACACCAAAGCCCTATTTTGGATGTGACGCACCATGCAATACTAATAAGGGCCATTATGGCAACGATCAAACTAGAACAGAGGACCCTGAAATTCTGATGAAACTTCAAAAGATGCAGGGAAGATAAATACTAACATTCAGATACTGAAGTTGAACAACAAACAATGAAGGAGAACCTAAGCAACTAAACATGTAAACACTTTGAATAAAAAAAAAAAACCCAATTTAGAGACTGGAGTTTATTTCTTTTTTCTTCCTATTCTAAAGTTGCATCCTGTTGCTTTGGTTTCACTATATATTCACTTTTAAAATTTAACCAAAAGGTCTAGGCACCACCTTGTAGACACCAAGCACACAATAAATTGCTTCATTCAACTACAAGTCTACAACCCTTTTCTAGCTCAAACAACAACGATACAAGTATTGTTAGTAGAAAGTAGAAAGAATTGAAAAGGGAAAGTCAATACTCACCAGAGCATTATCCAGAGTCCCAACAAGAATAAACTTCCCATTGGGCGAGAACTTGACGTAGGATACTGGAGGATTCTCATCATCAATCAGCGTCTTCATACAATGACCCGTCCCTGCATCCCAAATCCTGCATAACCCATCATAACTGCTGGAAACAATCATCGACCCATCCCTGTTAAAATCAACAGCGGTAACAGGATCAGAATGTGCAGGCAGAACCTTCAAGCACTTCCCAGTCTTGACGTCCCAAATACGGACGGTCTCATCAAAAGACCCCGAAACAATCATATTCGACTGCGGATTAAAGTTAACACAAAAGACGTAATTAGTGTGGCCATGGAGTGTCTTGATGAGCGAGCCAGTGTTGACGTCCCAGAGGCGGAGGGTCTTGTCGTCGGAGGCGGAGACGATGAAGCGGGAGTCAGAAGAGAAGGCGAGGTCGGAGATACCCTGTTCGTGGCCAGAAAATTCCTGGAGAGGGGAGAGAATGGTAGCGCTGTTGTGGGCTTCATTACCGTTTTGGATGTGATCAGCGGAGACAGAGTAAGTCCGGAGGGTTTTATCGGCAGATGCGGAGGCGAGAAGGAGGCCATCGGAGGAGAACTTGAGGGAGGAGACGCCGCGCTTGTGGGCGGTTAGGGTTTGAGAGAGGGTGTAGGGTTTGAATTTGAAGGATTCGACCGGGTCCGTCGCCATTGGTTCCGCATCCATCTCGGGTTGGTGGTTTCAGAGCGGCGACTTCAGCGAAGAGAAGGGGTTTATGGGAGGTTCGTCGTTGAAGATTGTGCGTAGTTAAAGGTGCTAAAACCTTGTCCAATAAGTTGTGTCCCGAAAGACAACATCACATGATTCACATCAGCAAAAATTATTATTATATAAAATAAGGAAGAAATATTGTAAATTGCGTAATTTTAATTATTAAATGTGTATTTTATTACTTAATATAATTTA